TTCAGCAGTGCTGGCCCCCGCGCGCGTCCCCCTCGCACGGAGATGCCCACCCCCGTCACCCTGTGTTCCAGTTTAACCAGTCTTGCCAGAGAGACTGGGGATGGGAGCAGGGAAGGGGAAAAGCTTCAGACAGCGGGAGTGGCTGCGGAGGAGTCGTGTTGATTTACGCTAGCAGAGACTCCAACTCCACGCGCCCATGGGAGAGACGGGCGATAAGCAAATACCTGGGGAGCACAAAACCCACCATGCAAAGGAGGGGCAGAAACAGCGGGGACACAGGCGTGCCCCGTACCAGCCCGCAGCCACGGACCTCGTAAGCCTCACTCACCCACCGCCCTGCGCATCCGAGTGTGCTCCGCACCGCCATCCAGCCAGGCTGTGAGCTTTTCCACGCTGAAGGAGGCCGTTTGCCTCTCGCTAGCGAGGTCGGGATTCACGCTGCCGAGGACCGAGCCCTGCGAGTACTTGCCGGTCTCTAGCAGAGCCATGCTGGAGGCTGAGCTGCTCCGGGAAGGGATGGGGCTCGTTAGGTGCTGACCACCCCTTCAGTGGGTGGTTGGTAAAGGTGTTGGGCGCAGCGAGGAATGGTTAAGGCCAAGATGTGCCTGCATGGGCAGCCGGGGGCATGGCTCCCTGCACCGCAGCTGCAGCTGTTGCAGGGCACTGTGCTCAGCAGAATAGCTGTAGGAGTGTACTTTGTACATAAATAGGTACATTCCCATGTTAGTTTAAAAAAAAAACAAAACACCACACAAACAGGGGTTGCGTGAATGTTTAGGCACTGTCTTGTCCTTATTGGAATGATATGGACAATGAAAATTTAGGGCACTCTTAAGAGCTCAAAATGCAGGTTTTATGATTATTATAATTTTTTGTTTTAACCACAAAATCTTTTTCTTTGACCAGTCTGTCCCCGATATTTTATGAGACGTTACTGCTGGAATATCCCACAAGTGTGTGTTAATGTTTAAGGGAGTTTCTGGCCCTGGCCTCCCCCCCCGCTGGGTGCTGCTGCCTTCCCCCCGGGTGCCGGCTCAGAGGCTCCCGGACCTGCACTCGCAGCAGCTCTGCCCGTGCTCCCTCCGTCCTGCTTCCCACGGGGCTCGGCTTTACGTTAACTCCTAACCTTGTAATTCCCGTGTTAGCAGGATTTGTCGCAGGATACTAATTAAAAAAAAAAAAAAAAAAAAAAAAATGGTTTGGGGGAAAAAAAAGCACATTTTTCCCTTGCAGGAAAAAAAGAATGGTATGTGGAAAATAAAGCAGATTTTTCCCTTGCAGGGGCTGCCTGCCGTCCTGAACTATTTTTAATACTCTAAGAAATGTAAACTCTGGAAACTCTTGCAAATATGGTGGGTTTTTTCCTTGTTTTTCTGATACTCAGACCTTTAGTTCAGCGTGTCTTACTGTTTTGGGAGGGAGAAAAGCCTCAAAGCAGCGTGTTTTGGAGTAACCCAGGCCTGCCCTTCAGCCGTCCCAGGAAGTGCCAGACTCTGCGGTGGAGCTCGGGGATGGCTCAGCCGCCAGCTCCCTCTTCCGTGAGGCTGCATAAGAAAAAAATCTGTCTGTCCGCTACGTGCAAACACAAGTCCCCACGTACCTTGTCCCAGGCGTCCTTCAGGAGCCGTCTGGCTGCTGCCTACCTGCCTGGGCTGTGCTCCCGGTGTCCCCGCTGCATGGACCTTGTCCCTGGGGCCAACGGAGCTCGACTCGGCCCGCGGGTGTTTCTGCGTGTGCGCAGGGGCGTGCTGGAGCTGGCCTCTGCCGGCAGCGGCCTCTGCGCCTGCTGGGCGTAAAACCCTGCAGCTCCCAGCGCAGAAAGGGCGGGAGCCTCCTCTGCATTTAAAAAATATGTCATTTTTCCGATCTCACTTCAGGCTATTTGTGTGTTGGAGGCTGCGCTTCCACTTCTATCACCAAAGTGGCACCATGCCTTTGTCCCAGTATATTTTTTTTGTGTGTGTGTGTGTGTGTCTGCTCAGAATGGAGCAGAGCACCCTTTGGGCTCTCGCTACTCCTTGCCTGCAGATTTGACTTGCTCAAGGTTTTCCCAGCTCGGTCACGGCACTGCCCTCAGCCCTTCCTGCAGTTTGGGGTGCAAGCCAGGAGTCCTGGGGTGTGCCTCGCAGGCTGCGCTGTGCTGGGGGGGAGGAGGTTGCCCGGGGCGTGCGTGCTGCCTTCATCTCTGGCTGTCCCGAGTCTGTCCCTGCTGCAGTCTGTCCCGGTGTCCAGCGAGCGGGAGCTGGCAGCTCACGCTCCCTGGCTACATCAGTATGAGCCAGGCGGGAGAGGAGTCCCTCCTGCCCGCAGTTCACCGATGCCTCACCTGCTTGTCTCACACTGGAAACTGCTTTGTGAGGGAACGAGGTGAAGCAGGTGGGGTTCACCGGACCATGGAGTTGCTTTAACATAGGTAGTTAAACAAAGGATGAGAAATTGGATGTGGTTTTGCAAAACTATAATTTTAAGCTTAAGCCTGAGTGAACCAAGCCCAGCAGTCACGAGGAACAGCAATAAATCAAAACAGCTGACTGTGATGCAATGAGTGTGCTCATGGGCAGTGGATGGTGTGTTAGGGATGAGTCTGGCAGATTAAAGATGCTGCGTGGCTCTGTCACCCTCCCAGAGCAATAGGGTGTCCTATGGATGTGCTGCTTGGCATCCCGTTCTGTACTGCACAGCATCACGTCCTACGGTGACTCAGGGTTGCCAGTACTTGGGAGGCAGCAGCATCTTTCTGAGGTGATCCACGGGCTTTCTCTATTTGCTCTGCTGTTTTCTTCTGCTGGAGTCAGAACCGCTCACCCTTGTGCTTCCCAAGTGCCGTTTGTGGTTCAGCTAGTGGGTTTGGGTCTCCTGAAGGAAGATTGAGGGATGAGAGGTTGGAAGAAGCCTGTCCCTGAACCTGTTTGCAACCTGATGTTCATGCAGGCTCACGTTCGGGCAGGCTCAGGTGCTGCCCGCGTAGGTCATTGCCGGTCTGTGTTTGGGAAGTGTGAGCTGGAGTGCCACTGGAGCTGCACACCCAGCAGCGTTCCCGTGCACCTCAGCTCCTCGTGCCTGCACGGTGCCCAGAGAGCTCATGGGCTGTGGTGGGAACCGACAAAATCCACAAGATCACCTGGTCATGGTGTGTTGGACCACACCACAATTGTTATGTTGCTGATGATTGCTGAGGTGTGGGATTAGTGTAAGCAGTCTTTGGGCACAGCCCATTGAAACCTTGCTGGTTGGGGCTGTGAAAGGGTGATAAAGCATTTTACAAAGTCCTGCCTGAGTTCCCTGGTCTCGTGTCTCACCAAAGGCCATGCTCTCCAGCAAAGATGTTTCCCTTTGTGTGGTTTGTGCCAGGAAATGAAGTACGTGACCTGCCATGGTACGATAACAAGCGAGCCATTATTATAAGCGGCAACAGGGTGGGAAGACCTTTTGGAAACCTGACCTGAAGAACAGGTTTAGTCAACGAACCCTCATCCCAAATGATGAGCTGACGGCCCACATCAGTGCCGCAAGGTGCGGAGGGTCGGGAAGGCCATGTACCTCCCAGTGTGGCAACCCCGGCAGACACCCGGTGCCAGAGAAACCCACCCAAGCACCGTCTCTGCCTTGTTCTGAGCGGGGAGTTGGTGTCTCTGCAGTTAAGGATATCTCTAGTGAGACAGAGAAGTCCTTCCCGTTTGCTGTGCTGCATTCAGTTTCAGTCCTGGCTCTCGGGGAGCACGGTGTGTGTGGCCTGCACATGTGAAGCATCCTCCATCCTCTCTTTTTATCTGCTCCATCTGTGGTCTTTGGTTGCTGCTAAAACACTTTAAAAATGTTTAAAAATAACCAAGTGAGCTCACTAGTGTGGGGATTGCCTTTCAGTTCAAAATTAAATCCAAGGGCAATGCGTGTCCTTGGCTTTGTGGGTCTTACCCTGCCAGGCAGGTGGGCACCTGTGGCCAGGTAGAAATCAAACATATGGGAAGTTTCAGTGCACAAAGCCTGATTCCACGATTTTTGTGCCCTTAAACTTTCAGGAAATTGTGATGAAGTCTAGGAATAAGCAATGAATGCAGCGTTGAGTACGGATGATGAAAACAGCTCGTTGGTGAGTAAGTTAACACAGCACTAACAAAGGAGTTGCTGTCAGACTTCACTGATTTTTATGTTCACTCAGTTTATTTGGCTGTTGTCTGCTTGTATCCTCAGAGCTTTTTCGGTTCCTTGTGGAAAAGAGCAAAATATACAATTATCATTTAGCTTATTTCTTCAGCAGTGTCCACATTAAACAGTGTGAGTTAATTAAGTAGAGTTGCATAACATATATTTTTATAAAAATGTATAAACACCAACACAGAATATAGACTATACACCACACAGGCACATACACAGTGCAAAAAATCATCTTCCATCAATACTCTGATAATCTGTATCTTCTGGATATACCACATTTATTCAGGAATGTGTTTTAGGGTCATAGGGAGGAATTCATTTCAAAGAAAAAGAGACACAAAGATACCCCAAAATCTTCCTGGTGATGCTTACACTGATGTTTTTTCAGGTGCCACCTCCATGCTGCTGTGCCATGAAGCACCAGAACATCGGTGAAGTTGTACAGACTCTCGGTCTGAGCCCAGCCAGGGAGGCGGTTATCAGTTCGCAGGGGTGAGAAGAGCTGTGTTGGAAAACGCTGTGATTTTTAAGCCAAGGCTTGAACAGTAAAATCATCATTTCCCGTGTGCTGTCACGGAGGGCTGGAGCCTGCAGCTTTTTCTGGGGACGAAGTGCCGTGTGGCCCGCTGCGTGCCACGGGGCTGCTACAGCCCATCCCGGCCCCATGGCAGCTCCCGGTGCCGGCTGCTGCGGCTGGGTTGGTTGGTTGGTGTGCCGACGTGCG